CTCGAACCCAGTGCCCATAGTTTCAAACACCAGCAGCCAAAGCGTTATCCAATAGACGACTTGGGCGACGAGAGCCACCCCACTTCTTGTGCTACGAGTCATATTAATTGATATTTAATTGAATTTTAGATTTTCCCGTCCATTGATTGATTGGACTGAAGTTCTCGGTCTCAGGTTGACATGTCTGTCGGCTACTTGTGCAGAGGCTCCGACGATGTCTGGGCATGTAATTAGAATTTTATTGGTCGACATCGTCGAGGCATCTGCAAAGAAAATCTAAAATTCATTGAAGTAATTTGTAATACAATAAGGATAGTGCATAACAACTTACTGATTGAGTGAGTTTAAGCCTACGAATTTGCAGAGGATTGCAACAAGTTAGCACACTCCTCACAGCATGCAGAGGTAGAGAAAAAACAGAGGGAAAAGGAGATTCAACTGGACTACAATGATGTTAGATTGTTGAAAGTAGTTGTCAGGACGTCCTGTACCTATTAATATATGTGTAAAACTTGGGCACTGTGTTGGTAGTAAGTAATTCCATATTAGTTTGTTTATTAGATGCATCACCAGACAATCAGTGAGTGGGTGAAACAGTATTAGTATTTACTGGATGACAAAGTTGTTTCGAACACAATTCATCATTATTGCTGTTCATAATCATACACATCACCACTTATTATAATCACACGACTTCGAAACTTGAGTTTTATAGTCTTCTTTGTTCTCTCCTATTTGTGGTCGTCATTGGGGTAGTAGAATTTTCCAGATATTGGGGTGGACAGGTGTTGAATCATTCCTATTACACGTGTTGATTTGCAGTTGGTTCGATGAACAAAGCTTCCGTTATCAATCTTTTCCACTCACCACCCTGTGAGATTATATTCTAAAACTGTCATCCTATTATGTGGTTGTACGTGATTGCATGTAGTGCTTGCGATAGCTGCTGAACTATTCTCTAGATTTCTTATCTTATTCGGGTCAACTAATCTAGATTTCGCTGCTAGGTGTTTATGCTGCTCGGCTAGTCTGACTCACTGACTGACCCTGTTCTACTAGTTTGACCTATGTATTTGACCTGACAATCATTGCAGGCAGGGTATTAGATAAACTAAATTGTTTTGTCGGTTAAAGGCTCCACTGGCAGGATTGATCCTTTAACCGACAAAGCTTGTTTCTAATTGAATTTGTGGTTGGTTTGAATTCCAGCAGCCACTTTTATTCCTGCCTGCCTTGTTAAGAATTCTCCGCTGTAAGGTGGTTTCCGAGGTTCCTTCCTTGTATGGAATTACTACTGATGATTTAGATTCCTTATTGTTGGTGTTGTCATTATCTTGCGCATATTTGACATGCATGTCATCATTAATATTATTATCACTATCAACTCATTATTATTTTTATAAAACTTTCTGACTAATTTATCGAGACTTCTCTTATATGTGTATCACTTCCTGTCTTAGATTTTCCTTGGTACTACTTAGTTTTGTGCCCTGTTGTCACTTAAACATTTCACCAATCCTATTTTCACTGACATAGATTGGATGGGATGATCGGAAGTCTAAATATCTGTTTGAATGTGTGAGTTTCCTGTAACATCGGAAGCTCCCCTACCTTACTTTCTAATTCATAAATGAATTGAACTGAATTGCCTCCACCTTAGAGTTAATGTGTTCGAAAAATCTATCTATATCCTGTGTTCTAAGAACAATGAATGAATGTGTCATCTACATACCTCCACCATACTTTTGCCGTGGCAAATACACGTAATAGGAATGATTCAACATATTTCCACCCAGATATCTGGAAAATTCTACTACCCCAATGACGACCAAAAATAGGAGAGAAAAAAGAAGACTATAAAACTCAAGTTTCGAAGTCGTGTGATTATAATAATTGGTGATGTGTATGATTATGAACAGCAATAATGATGAATTGTATTCGAAACAACTTTGTCATCCATTAAATACTAATACTGTTTCACTCACTGACTGTGTATGTGATACATCCATCTAATAAACAAACTAATATGGAGTCCTCTATATACGTTTCGTGCTTGTCGGCACTCATCAGAAAAGCGTATCTACAGCGCCTTGAAAGAACTCATGTTCCATATGACATATAGAAGAAAGAAAAAGTAACACATAGAAAAACATGAAAACTTAATGGATCTGGAAGGTTACAAAGAGTGAATGTATCTACGATACTGAGAACGATTTCGAGTCTCCAGCCATTGATTCTTAGTTTCCCGAGGACTCCAACCAAGTAGAGTACACATCCATAGATGGCTCAAACCAATTGTCAAATATTCAAGTATTGGTTTGTACGGATTTGGTTCGAACCCAGGACCTTCTGGTTACAAGGCGAGCTAGCTCGTAGACCATTAAGCCACTGGGACCCGATCCAATGGCCCGGTGGGTGCGTACTGCCGAAGAGTCCCAAACTAGGCTGACGAAACAGCTGTCCAGTACTCCCAGCTTGTTTTCCAATGGTTCTCTAACCAATGTCAGCTCATGATGAAATCCTGTAACCAACTGTCAAATACTTTATGGTTTGACTTCAGGTTTCAGTTTGACCTGCCCTAATTGTTTCCCAAATTAATCCTATGTTGGCTAAAATTGCACTGCAGTGGCTCGGCGGTGTGTGCGATAAGTGTCCCGGCCATCTCAGCGATCTGGTTTCACAAACTAATCGACTAACTTCGCTTCTTTGCCTAGAGCTCTACGCCAAGCCACAATTTTACCCACCATCTTAGCATTTTTATATCTTTTTGATTTGGTTGTGTTTTCTGAGCTAACTGGAATAGTTAATTTGCGAAGCTTTCATTATTGCCCTACTACTGGCAGGAGACATCTTCCTTCAGCGCACACTTTAATTCCAATTGTTGAAGTGAATTTTTAGATTTCCCCACGAGTTTATTAATCATCTCTCCTGGTCGATGACCACCTTGGACGTGATTACTTGTTTTTGTGTGTTTCCACACCTTCTAGGCGGCTACTTGAATTGATATTGGTACTGAGTGTTTCTTTGACTTGAACTTCAACCCTTTGTGTGTCAGTGTGTGAGGTTTCTTTCGTATCGGTTGATAAATTGTGTCTATTTCGATGTATCTATTGATTGATGATTCACTGGAATACCAGACAGGCTTCTAAAAATTCTCTAGCATTCTTGGTGTTGTTTCCTCTGTCTAATATTTGAACGTTGGTTGTCCCAGTCAAATTGATGTCCGTGGTTGTCTGTATGTAGTGAGGCGATATGAGTGAGGGAGTGGATGTCATGTCTTTTGACGGGTAGCTTATGTTCGTGGATACGAAGACGAAGAGCAGGGACGTCCACTTTAGCCAATTTAGTGTTTTTCGCAGTTGTTACAATTTATTTTGTAGATGATGTTGGTTTTATTTTCTTTCGTTGTTGAGTCTGTCTTTTGGTTGACACAGGGCTGCCTGAGTGAAGTGATTTTGTTGGTTGGTGTACGACGTCAATTCCTCATCAAGGTTTGAAGAGTGTCGCAGTGATTTCTGAGATATTCTTCATGTATATGGTAGGGCGATTTTCTTTGTGTTTTCCTTGGGGGCTTTTAGTTTGATAGGTTGTCTTGGTGAGGGGGGGAGTATATGTCACCTGGAGAGATGATTAATAAACTGACTCGCGGAGAAATGCAAATGCTCACTTCAACAATTGAAATTGAAGTGTATGCGCTGAAGGAAGATGTCGCCTGCTAGTATGGAAATAATGAAAGCTTCGCAAATTAACTATCCAGTTAGCTCAGAGACAAATAGCGGGCAATGAGGAAACAGGCATAAAATGGACTCACACAAAAAACCAACTTGGAGGATCTGGACTTCGCCGATGATATATGCCTGATTGGCCCCACAAACTGGAAGATATGCAAGTGAAAGGCAACAAGTTGGCAGAAGAAGCATCCAGAGAAGATAGGACTTCTTTCAGGTTAACAGAGAGAAAACAGAGGTAATGAAGATTCCTGGACAAGAACAACAACAACAGACAACGATCAGCATAAATTGGGGGAACCTGAAAGAAACAACCTCCTTCACCTACCCACCACCTACCTAGGAAGCATCGTTTCAACTACAGGCCGACGGAACTGACGAGGATATCAAAGAAGCGAGGATCGGGAAAGCAAAACAAGCTTTCATTACTCTCAAGTCTGTGTGGAGGTCAACAGCACTCAGCACTAATCAGCATGAAAATGAAAATAAGATCCGGATTTTCAACTCCAATGTGAAGTCAGTCAGTGCTACTCACTATACGGATGGATCAGAGACTTGGCCAGCGCATCATAAAGACCATCTCAAACAAACTACACACCTTCATCAACAGCTAGTTGTCTTCGCCCTATACCACTCAAGATCAGATGGCCGGCCAGAAAAGATCAGCAACAGAGATCTCTGGGAGCAAACCAACACAGCAGGAACCGATTGTTAAACAAATAGGCAGGAAGAAATGGAGATGGATTGGCCATACTCTGAGGAAACAATCTATCAAGCCATTGCTCGAGTGGAACGCGACCGAATGGGAAGCGGCGAGTTGGTCGTCAGCGTGAGGGTGGGTGACTTTGAGGAGGTCATGTGAAGAGGAGATGAAAACGTGTAGGCAGACATGGAGCCAGGTGGAGACTCTAGCAGAGAACCAAACGCAATGAAGACGTGCACGGCTGAAGCCCTATGTTCCTCTTGGAATTAAAGGAAACAGTAATAATAATAATAGCTCAGAGAACACAACACCACATCAAAATCATCCGCCTGAGCTATAAATCTTCTCTGTCATATTTTAATATCGTCCACTTTCAAATGCCATAATGCATAAAATCACTGGGGGAATGCAGTGATATGTAGGTAGAATGGACAAATGAGCTTTATTCTACAGTATAGTACCGGGAATAGGACAATTAACTATGCAGATAGAGCTGTTGTTGTTTATTGTTTGCATCTTTCAAATTCTGTACAAATTTTTTTTGTTGTTGAAAAAATGCTCTCTTTCAGATCATACTTGCACACAATGAATGTGTTCAATTTGCATGAGACAATAAAACAAGAATTTCTACGGAAACAAGCCGATCTGTTCAATTTAAACGATGGTATGTCCTTTTTTGTGTTGTTGTTTTCTTTTTTTGTCGAAGTGTTTATGAGTCGTTATTAAGAAATAACAATTTACAGTTTATATACAACATTACATTAGATAGTTGGAGACAATCGGCCAGAGAAAGCCTCGCCTGGACCTAGGTTTCGTGCTAGTTAGCACTCACCAGGGAGCATTGTCTCAACTACACGAGGAACGGACGAAGATGTCAAATCGAGAATCGGGAAGGCGAGAAACACATTCATCAACCAGAAACCAATCTGGAGATCTTCGTCACTCAGCAACACTCAACAACAAAATTCGGATTTCAATACAAACGTCAAGTCAGTCAGTTCTTCTATACGTACGGATAAGAAACTTGGCGGGTCACAAAGAATATTTCCAACATCTTGTTGCAGACCTTTATTAACAACAACAACTGTCTTCGCTAGCATCATACTGAAGATCAGATGTCCGGAAAGAACAAGAAGCAACAAGAAACTATGGGAAGAAACAAACAAAATAAGAACCAGTCGCTCAACAAATATGCAGGAGAAAGTGGAGATGGATTGGACACTCGCTGAGGAGGCTGCTGGTGACGTCACCCCGTCAGCCCGTCGAGTGGGACCTGAAAGGGAAGCAGCGAGTAGAGGGACGTCCAAGGGTGACATGGAGGAGATGGTGTGAAGAAGAGTTGAAACGGTATGGACTAACCTGGATGCAAGTGAAAAGTACAGCAGAAGACAGAAACAAGTGGAGGCGTGCAGTTGAAGCCCTATGTTCCACTAGGAACCCAAGGGAACAATAATAATAATAGCATTCACCAGTCAGTCAGTAAGGTGTATCTGCAGCCACTTTTGAAGGAACAGCTCATGTCTCACCCGTCTGAGGAGATTCGAACCCCCGCGTCACCCACTGAGGAGTACTGCAGTCAGAGACGTTACCACCACTAGTTACTGACTAGTGTCCAATAAAAATACCCACTACAGTCAGTCCTACAGGAGGTCAATCGCTAGCCAGCCCAAATAGCTTGATGGTGCTAACGTCTCTGACTGCAGGATTCACTGGGTGACGCGGGTTCGAATCTCCTCAGATAGATGGGAAATGAGCTGTTCCTTTGAATGTGGTTGCAGATACGTCTCAACTACCACCTTTATTCTCTCTCACTCAATAGCAATTTTCAACCTTCCTTATCAAATTTCTATGTGTTGTGCCGTTGAGTACCACGTAATTTACAACTTTTAATTTCTTTTACTTCTAAAGCCACTTCTGAGTGAGTAATTATATCAATTATGTCAGCCACCCCCCTATTACTCAATAATAGACCACTATATATATTTTTGGTAAGTGTAAATCCGACTGTACAGCCAAGCCAGTCTGTGAAGATGATTTCGTCGATAAAGAAGCATTTTCTTCCCTGGCTGAATTTGTCTCCTTTAATTTTCTTCATAAAACAAAGTAAACAAAAGTCGACGAGAGAGAAACAAATGAAATCTACAGACAAAAACATGACTAGATGAGTCCATTGGAATGATATTTAGCCATACCACAAAAGCCATTGGCTTTTTGAGTATTTCATATATGTGTAAAACTTGGGCACTGTGGTAGTAAGTAATTCCATATTAGTTTGTTTATTAGATATATCACACAGTGAAACAGTATTGGTATTTACTGGATGACGCTTCGAACAAAATTTATTGTTCAAAATCATATCAATTGTGATCACACGACTTTGACACTTAAGTTTTTTGAACACATCAACTCGAAGGTTGAAGCAATTCAATTCACTTATGAATGGGAAAATCAGGAAGGCGAGCTCCCAATGTTAGATTGCAAGGTAAAGAGGAAAGAAGATGAGAAGTTAAACACTAGTGTTTACAGGAAACCCACACACACTCAAACAGATATTTGGACTTACGATCATCCCACCCAATCTATATCAGTAAAAATAGGATTGGTGAAATGTTTAAGTGACAACAGAGCACAAAAGCTAAGTAGTACCAAAGGAAATCTAAAACAGGAACTGATACACATAAAAGAAGCCTTGAAACTTGATAATTATCCTGATAAATTAGTCAGAAAGTATGTAAGGAAATGTAAAAATAAAATAAATAATGATAGTAGCGATAGTGATAATAATAATATTAACGACGACACCAACAATAAAGAATCTAAATCATCAGCAGTAATTCCATACAAGGAAGGAACCTCGGAAGCCTTACGCAGAATTCTCAACAAGGCAGGAATAAAAAAGGCATTCAAACCCACAAACTCAATTACAAACAAGCTTTGTCGGTTAAAGGATCAATCCTGTGGAGCCCTTAAAACAAAACAATTTACTTTTTCTCATACCCTGCAATGATTGTCAGATCAAATACGTGGGTCAAACTAGTAGAACAGGAGCAGTCAGACTAGCTGAACATAAACACCTAGCAGCAAAATCTAGATTGGTTGACCCGAATAAGATGAGAAATCTGGAGAATATTTCAGCTGTAGCACTACATGCAGTTACACACTACCATACAATAGGCTGGATGGGATGGGATGACAGTTTTAAAATCTAATGTCACAGGGTATAGGGAGAGATTGATAACAGAAGCTTTGTTTATCAGATCAACTGCAAATACGTGTAATAGGAATGATTCAACACCTGTCCCCGATATCTGGAAAATTCTACTACCCCAATACGACGACAAATAGGAGAGAACAAAGAAAACTATAAAACTCAAGTGTCAAAGTCGTGTGATCACAACTGATATGATTATGAACAATAAATTTTGTTGGAAACTTCATCCAGTAAATAATACTGTTTCACTGTGTGATATATCAAATAAACAAACTAATGTGGAATTTTGAGTATTTCGTCGCCCCTTGTCATCCAGGTCGTCCATACCATCTCGAATGTTGCTCAAACTAGCAGTCAAAAACTAATCCAATAGGTCTGGCTAGTGCAATAATAATCATATCCAATTCATTACTTCCTATGGCAAAGTTAAACTTTTAAGCACCACTTACAACCACCAATCAGCAAACGACCTTCAACGGACCAATCACATGAAGGCGGGATTTTTGATTAAGGTGAAACGTATATTTAAGGGAAAAAAACTGTTAGTTACACAGGGTATCTTTCTGTAAAATGTGAGAGAAACATCTCCCAGTTAAGCATAGGACTGTCAATAGAAAAGTTACACCACATATTCTGTACATATATATTCAACAAATGCCATCCAGCCACAAAGTTCACTCTTGAAATTGAAAACGAATCTAGAATACCTTTTCGTGATGTTGAACTTACAAGGAGAGCTGACGGAACTTTAAGAAGGTCCATCCATAGGAAACCCACATGGAGCGGCCAACTGACAAGCTTCTACAGCTGGGTACCAATCAGTCGGAAAAGAAACTTAATTAGATCTCTTGCCACTCGTGTCCGACGCATCTGCAGCTCTGATACCATGGAAGAAGAACTAAACTTCCTGAAAGAAACCTTCATACAAAACGGTTACCCATCAAGATTCGTAGACAAAAACATCAAACAGAAAATCCAAAAGCAAGAAACAGCATCTGTGCCAAAAAAGATACTTTATATGAACCTCGAATTCAAAGGAGACCTACTCAGTGACGTCCTTAGAAGGAGAATCTCCACCTCTTTAAGAAGAACTTTCTTTGCGGCAACATTGAGAGTAGGGTTCTCTAGTCGCCCGCTGATCTGCAGAAGCCCAAGGGACAAGATCCGGCACCTGACCACTACTTCTATGTGTATATATCAGTTCACCTGTTGCTGTGGAGCCAGCACAGGTACATCGGTCGTTCAACTCGTATCCTGTCAAAAAGGGTCAAAGAACACTATCCAGCGTGGCTGCAGAAAGGAAGTAAGGGTCGTATAAGGAGTGCAATAATAGAACACCTCGTCAACACTGGTCATTCCATCTCAAGAACAAACGCCTCCTGCTTCAAAGTAATCTACAAAGTGAAGAACAACCTTCCAAAGACAGTACGATTCCATCTTCTTTGCATCGCAGAAGCCCCTTAGCCATTAAGCTAGAGGAACCAGAACTGTGCATACAAAGGAAAATTATTCAACCACTTCTACTCCCATGGTAACAACTGTGTTGATTTGACTTAACTTTTGTTTGTTTGTTTGATTTGATTTGACTTTTGTTTGTATGCTTATTTTTCTACTTAAAACCCTTGTGTAATTCCGTATATTTTGTTTCCATGTACACCCTGAGTACAACTCTTTCATTTAACTATTCATGTTATTACATAACTTCTTTAACAATCGTTTGTGACAACTCATCACTTTCGTTACACTACCCTCTTATATCAATCAACATCCAATTCATCTGAACTTACTAATTGTATTTTCGTTTGACAAATTTAATGTACACACACACATACAAAACAACCATATATATATATATATTTGCGATTGTACAGCTATGAAAATGAATTCGCCACCGAAAAGAGACTCTTCGCTGAACTACTACTTGTCTTCTGTCTATTAATGTTCGAATGGGAATTTTTCATGAACATATATATTCATCCAAATGACTATAAATGAGATCCATTTTGTAGCACTAATCCTATTTTTCAATCTTCCTCAGAATCCTTCAATAGAATTTGTGTGTGTGTCCCCGTAATAGGATCGACAAAATCACTGGAATGGTTCACTCTATGATGAATATATCCAAGAGATGACAGAGAGTTATAACCTTTCCATTCATCCGTATGTAGGTATTATTGATCCCTGTTTCACGAGTCTAGTAATAATAGGTATAAGAGTAGTTGACTTACTGTCTGGTATTCTCTCCACGAAGCCCTTCCGCAGGGAGGTGTTATATAAACCAATTACCCAAATATTGTTGGCTCGCTGACAGTTTCGTCCACGTGCACAACGATGTCTTCTCCACCCAAAAACGAAGTAATTCTTTCCATTTTCCATGATGCAATGTCTCTGCTGTGCTGGTAGCACTGAACCACTGTTGACACGAGGCTATTTTCGGTTTCAGCAGCTGTGGC